GGCCCTCCCTCCTTCTCTCCCTCCCTCTATACGTGTCGATTGTATCTGTCCGTCCTGCGGGTTGCCTATGTGGGTGTGAGTGCCGCGGACAATGGAGGACTGACTGTCTGGGTCACTTCTCAATCATTGTGTGCTTGTACAGCCCCCTCTCTCTCTCTCGTTGTGTGGATGGAGTCGGTGTACTCCCATGTGTGCCGTGACGGACAGGAAACGAATTCATCAATAGTCAACTGAGATATACACAGTCTCCCCTATACACATAAGTGACCCCCAAGTTCGTCAATGCAGACAACACACTTTTAGACAGCCTGTCTGGCTGTACGCCTCCTGTTGAGCTACTGACATACCCACATACACACACTGCCACGTGTCAGAATGCGCGTGACGGCCATCGGCTCACCTGCCGATAGAGAGGGCGGCAATGCGGGTGAACGAAACATCAACACACCCGCCAGGCAGACACAGGAGCACCCAGACGAGCAGATCTATGCTGCGACGGAGGGTTTCTCTTCTTCTTGGGTTCAGGGTTTCTTGTCCCTTCACGAGGAGGCCGCCTCATCGGTCACAGATCACACCGTCCTGACCGCTGCAGAGCACCTGATCTGCCGATGCCCGTCTGACTCCCTCGGATCTGCGTGAAGGCACACTTCACGCGCGGCTCTCCGCAACGGAGCGGCCTCGGCGGCCGCCGACCACACTGTGAGACTCGCCTACCTCCGCTGGACTGACGCATACGCTGTTCGTCCCGAACCGTGCCTAGGCCGCCAAAGTATCCACCCTCCGTGAAACGCAACTACATTGCTGTTTCCGAGTGGGTGCATTAAAAACCGGAAAACCGCCGAAAAATATTTAAAACAACGCAAAATATTTATGTAGTTCCAGCCGACTTTGGCAACCCCGGAAGGACCGATCGGACGAACAAGCGGAGAAAAAGTAGTCCAGAGCACTCGCCCGGGCAAATGGGCGAAGCAAAATAAAGGCAATCGGGCGCGTTGGCCTGCTGATCCCACTGCTTTTCGCATCGATCACCATCACTTGCATTTGGGTGTTTCAAAAGTACTTGCCACCGGCAGTGCGCCAGTACGTAAAAACTTGGGAAATCCCGACGACGTCTTCACCACTAGATTCTCTCTACGTCCGCTTGCCGTTGAAGAGGTGAAGAAAATTCGCTCTCCGGCTGGTTTCAAAAATGACTGTGGATTCTCCGAGGATCATGAATCTATGCCATACAGTAGACGTCGTGCGTACGTTATGACATTGCCTGAAGCTGAGGGAGAACCGGCGCGTTACTCTCGCTTTCGGAAAGAATGGGCCACTGCATACCCTGAACTCGACATCGTGAGGATAACGACATTTCGATCCCGAAAGCGAGGGCTTGGCATTCTTGCTAGCAGCATATGTGCAGTTGATCGTGCTGTGCAGGACAACGTTGATCTGGCCATGATTTTTGAGGACGACGCTTCGCCTTTCAAGCCATTCAACCAGGATTCATGGAAGACTGACTGACATACATTAAGTCATAGCGCAACGGCAGGCAGAGTCTGTCGGTCTCTCATGAAATGAACTGTGTCAATCGACCAACTCTCAATCACGCGACAAACATGCCAGCACCATCCTCAGCGCCCGCCTGACGTATCTTCCAGCGGCGCCGCTCACCACGCACACACAAACTCGCACTACGTGCCAGCGCAACAGACAAACGAGCACGGACCGACCCCAGCACCTGGCTATACGACTTGTCTGCCCACGCAGCCCTGGTGCGCAGCTTCTCAACCATGCGGCTGAAAGCACAGCAAATGAAAGGCACACCGGGCTCCTGTCGGGCAAACGATTGAGTAGACCGCGGAAAATTGTTGTTCTGGATGTGTCGCGGCGGTCTGCCAAGTGCGAGCATATACCATGGACACACAGGTCGGCTGCAAACACACGCGGAGGCGGTGGTCACGGGTATGAGGGGAAGTCCGCGGATAGGTCGTTCGTGTGTACGGCAGACGGTCGATACAGATGCATTGATTCCACATCCATGTCCTCCTGTCTTGTTGCCGCGTCTTGTCTCGCGATGTCTGTGTCCGATGTTCTATGAGTAATGGCGCAAAGCTCGAGACTGCTGGATGAAGTGTTTGCTGGTAACTACTATCGTTGATAGCTTGAGCCTTCAGTAAAAGAAACCTTCACACATCCAATCAACTCACTCTCACTTAAACACTTCATCCAGCAGCCTCGACCTTTGCGCTATTACTCATAGCACATCGGACAGACACCGCGAGACAAGACGCGGCAACTAATCTCGAGCTGGAAAGGGGCAGGTTGAAGCTTAGAAGTGGGACAAGGACGGCCCTTCATGCGGAGGGGTAACAAGGGCAAGCCGGGAGAGAGACATTAAACCCTTCTGTTTCAGCGTGTCTTTTTTCCCGTCTACTGCAGTGCCACATGTGGTCTCAAGTGAAGATGGTTCGGGGTGAGACACGTGAGCGATCCCACCCGTACAGTAGGTATCGCTTAAAGCAATCAGTACAGGGCTGATTGCTCTCCACGTTTGATTGGTTTGTATGACAAGCAAGTGATTGGTTTATCTTCTGCTTGTTTTTTGCGGGGTTTCTCGCCGTGAATGACTTACCAGAGCCCCCTCCATCACATTGACTCTTTTTTCCACGCTCAAACGCCTCTGAAACGACGAAAAACCATCAGTTCTCTCACTCGTCACGCTGTGCGTCCATCCGCTGTTCACAGTTTCTGCTGTAATGCCGACGACAAATCTCCGTCCACGGGGCTGATTGAATGAGTGAGAGGACAGATGGCTTTTCGTCGTTTAGAGGCGTCGAGCGGGCAGAATTTTGCCCGCACTCGGTCATCAAACGCCTGCAGCAATCAGCCCCGTGACACTAACCCAGATTCATGTTCATTCATGGCCGCTTCATCATTAGGACATGGGTTCTCATCATTCTTGCCCTCTCTGGTTCAAGCTTTTTGGTTGTTCTTCTCCGCCTCGCGCCAGAGCTTTTTTGCTCATCATGCAGAAGGTCCCGTTGTGTTCCCTCTTCCACAGAAGCCCTTTTGAGGGCCTCGTCCGTGAATTCACTCTGGGCCAGACAGTTGGAGCTCATTGAAACATCCGATTCGCTTCGGCCGCCTGATCACTGTTATGCGTAAGAATTTCTTCAATTTCATCGAAAGAAACCACCATTTTCTCCGGCTTTGCCGACTTGAAGCGGTTACGGTGGGCCGTGGATTGAGAGCTTTTTCTATCGCCACTGGCTGAAGTCACATTGCGGAGACGCGAGCGTCGAAGATATTTTTCCTGCCGACTGGGCGAATTGCAACCACAGTCAAAGGTTGTCGCATGAATTGAAGCGCTTGTATATTCCTGCAGCATGGACGAATATCCAACAGCAAGGGTGCCCGGCAAAAAGCATTAATACACCAAACCACGGTTGACGTATGTGGATGTATTATGCAGAGGGTGTAGAGGAGAACGGCATGGGCTTCGACAAGGGAATCACAAAGCCCTCGCGCTTCTGCAGAGAATGGGAGATGCCAAGGCGTATACTGTCCTTCAGGTAGGAATAAATCAAATACAGAATGGCTTTCACTCGGCCGTTGCTCAACAGGATGCCAACGGCATCAGCAAGTTTCTTCGCACTAATGTTTCCGAGAATATCCGTGTCTTCGACGCAGGTTCCAATGAGCGTGTGACCAAGTTTGATTTTTAATCTTGTGACTTTGCAGGTGGATCATGCAAAGGGGTCAAAGATTGTGTCGCAATTCCTCTCATCAAGGGAGAACTCAAGTACCAAGACAGGATAGGAATGTGATGCAAATGCGAAATTTATTGGCTGGTTCGGTGTGCAGGCCAACCAGTAGAGTACGCGATATTTGGTTCTCCTCTGTAATCAAGAGAACGGATTTCCCTGTTCGGCGGGCAGTTTACTCCACCCTTCCAACAAAAGCAATCCGAGACCCTGACTTACAAAGCCCTACTGCTTGGGTAAGGGGTGTGTGCACAAATCGGATTAAAAAAAAGAAAAAACACTGACCGCTAACATTTTGTCCTTAGAACAAGTCCATTATGCTGCACTACAATGGTAAACGTTTTGCTGAGGTAATGGAGCGTTCCATTTTTACCCTTGCGGCACGAGGATTCGGACGCACGTCGTTCAGGTCTGCACACACAGCCACTTCCGCACAGGAATCACCGTATTTGTGTGTCTGATCAGAATGTATGAGGCCATCCAATCAGGGAGCATTCCGGTCTACGTTTGGGACGATGTTGAGTGGTTGCCCTATCGTGATGTTCAAGGGTTTCGATGGACAGACATCGGCCTGTCCTTCAGTAAGAAAGATATCCAGACAATTTTGCCAACCCTTCGTTCTCTCTCAGACAATGAGATCCGTAGGAAACAGGCTAATTTGAGGTGTTTTCGTTTTTGGTTCACGTATGAGGGAGTCAGCGAGTATATCCTAAGACAGGCAAATGAAGAGACTGTCTCATTCCGTCCATGTGCGGGGCTGTTGATATAGTATCTGAGACGAATTCGTTATCATTAGAAACGGACTTTCTCGGAGTGAAAGGTACGACCAGCTTCGTCAGGGTGCGAGTCCTCCCATGAAGAAGAAGACGCGCTGCACAGCAGCCAGTCCGATTCATGCAACGCTGGGTTAATCCCTGGTGCGAAACTCACAGACAAGCGGAAGTACGTGTACATCCCGGCGGAAGGCAGGCCGGGGAATGCACACGACAGCTCTTTTCTTCTTTCCCTGAAATACGTGTCATGACCAAAGTTAACATTCAACAAAATAGCCACGAACTGGCAGTTTGAACACGCCCGGATGGAAATAAATGTGAAATGTCACTCGAGACAGCGATCCGATGAAACGCATACTACAGAAATCGGATTCTCACATGACATCTGTCTCTTTCTCTATTTGATTTGAAAATACGGATTGCTTGACTTTGGGTGGTGTGACAGTAGCAGTCAGGACGTTTGGCATCGAACAAATGTGATTGCGACTTTCAGCACGATGGAGACTACAGAAATCGGAGAAATCGGAACTCGAAAGATACTGGAGAAATCAGGCTTAAATCACCTGTCTCTCTCCCATTCTCTACAGATTTGACTTGAAAGTGATGGCCGAGACCACTTGCAGATAGAATGTGAATCCTACACTACGAGCAGCCAGGACGATTCTCATCTCTGGCCTACCTGAGCGAGTGTCGAGCACATGGAAAAATGTACAAGCCTCGCTTGGGGTGGAGAGAAAGAAAAGAAAAAGAAGAGGAGAAGAAGAAGAAGAAGAAGAAGAAGGAGAAGTAGGCAACCGACACATGGGAAAGAAGAGAGAGAGAGAAAATTAAGTAGGTGCATGACTGTTACACTTTCTTGTCTTGTCTCTATGCAGATGGCAACGAGGCCGTGCGGTTGTGCCCAGATGCAAAGGGCGATGTCTCTCTTTCCCGATACAAACGTAGCCTCTAATACGACTGTAATATTCCGTCTACCACTCGTCCTAAGCCTCACTACCAGCTGCTTACACCACACAGTCGTTGCCTCACTTACAGAGCGACACCTACCTCTCAATTCACTTAACGCAAAACTTCGGGGAAAACGAATCTTCTTCCGCGCTGAGAAGCCACAAACCATACTTTTCGAGTTGCGCCTTCTTCCTCTCACGCCCGATAATCCAGTTTGCATGAACAGCCACAACCTGCTGGCGTTCTTCTGGAGTGAGACGCTCAGAGGGGTGAGGCCGAGCAACGCCGAAGAACCCGCGTCCTGAAGGGAATAGCTTCTGGGGAAGGACGTGTACTGTAAAGTTTCGCTGCATTTCTTTCACAGCGCGATTTAACCCTTCCTGGAGTAGGATGAAAGATACTTTTTTAATAGGTAGAAAGGTACAGAAAGAGAAGAGGAAGTGCAATCCTTTGTGCTTCACCTGATCACCATAATCCTTCCTCTGCATCTCTTCCCTTTGCATTTGCCTTTCCCATTCTTGTATGAGCATGAAAGACTCAGGAGCCACAGGAAAATATTGAAAGCAACCGCAAAAACTGCAGAATAAGGATAAAGTGCAGAGATGATCCATGATTACGGGCCGTAGAGTTGACGCTGCTTTTCACTGGTGGGCGTGCGGATTGTCAAGCTGAATGGATTGAAAAGATTGACGACGACGACAAAACGACACCTCTCTTACTTGAAGAACAATTCTCTTGCCGTTCCCCAGGTGATTGACCACGTTCTTTCTCCAAACCATGTCAACGTCATTGAAAAGCACTGAAAAGCCGCGCAGAAGGATCTCACGAAAAAAGTAAGGCCGTTCTTTGCAAAGCGATATAAAGTTCTTGTCCAGCCACTTCGTAGCGGCCGATGATATCTGCTTTTCAGGCGGAGCCCGGGCCACGTTGTGAGGGAACACTTGCGTGAGAATCTCCATGCATTTGTCGTCATAGCAGATGATCAGAAAGCTTTTAATCCCTTGTCTTTGAATACTCCTGGCCCAGTTGACGGCAAAATCGACCTAAAACAAAAGACATAAAGAATCGGGGAGGCCGACCAAAGAGACAAATGAAGCCACCATGCCACAGTTGACTGTCGTTAAGATAATCAATCCACGGCTATCAGCAATTGACGAGAGCAGAGCCCGAGAGAGGAAATCAGAGGAAGCATCCGACGGGACCTCATCGTGTGCGGAGGAGCCGTTCGGCAACATCGCTGGTCTGAGTGCTCGCAAGTCCCTAAGACTGTCGTAGGACGCGGCGCTCCAGAGAGAGATGGAAAGCACAGACAAGACGGCAAAGACTGCAACAAGGACTATCGAACGTCTTGACGAACACCTTCGTCCTTGACGGAGCTCACTTTGAGGAGCTTTCTCGGATGAGCTCATAGAAGCAAAGCAGAAGTAAACTCACTAGAACCACTCACTTAAAGTTGTGTTTTATAGAGTGCCCCCGGGTGCAGAGCCACAGCACTCGAGCCAGAGCACACGCACACAGCGCGTGGCGACTCGCGACGCAACTTCGCGGACGCTTTTTTGACGGGCGACGCCTGGGGTGCATCCACCAAGCATCCCCGCTCCCATCCTCTTCATACCTCTTCGAAAACCCCTCACGGTGATCCCCCCCCCCCCCCCCCC